CATCCGAGACCGGATTGGAAACGGGCAGTCCGGACCCGATCGGTTCGCCGTGTCGCACAGCACGAGCAGCGGAAGAGTCTGGGGGAACAGTTGAACTGTCTGTGTTCTCCACGAGGACAAGCGAATTTTCCGCACCATCGGGGAGAGGACGAATATCACTGGCACAACTGCTTACCCCCGAGACATTTGTGGTGATCACATTCACCATGGGAACACATTCGCCCTGATCCGAATGCAAAACCGGCAAAGACATCACATCTTCGTAGCTTGGCGGTGGAGGTGTGTCCGATCGTTTTGGCGTGATTGTCTGACTAGATGACGCAACCTGCTCAGATGTATTGTCCAAATTCGTGGCATTCACACTGACATTTGCTGGATCACGACGACTACCATGTCTACGAAATCGCCCGCTACGGGGTTTACATAACCGGGGTTCGGGACGACGATCCCCGGATTGGTTGTCCTCCTCTCCGTGTTCCACTTCGACGTATGCTCCGGGACCGACAAACAGCACACCGGGAATACCGGACACAACATCTTTGTACGACGGTGGAAGTTCACTTTCACGGAACCTGGTGAACGAGCGAGAGGAAACAGCCCACGCAACGCAACGCGAGGGGAGGGGAGGGGGGATTGGACAAACAGGTAAGCCGTGGATGGGATAGACTCCGTGAAATTAACAAAACAAGAACGTTGGAAACAAAACATGAGATGAATTGAACGTTCAAACTTGCTTTCAAAAAGGGCAAGTTACAGCTAACGACCAAGTCATCCGTGACGGGATTCTCGTATTTCAGGCTACAAACAACGGATTGCGGGAGGAGAAACAAAATGTGGTATAGTCATCGGTTGCAGACAAATTGCGATCACAAACACGCAGTCGGGTGAGGAACCAGTGCTTGTTTGAGAGTAATATGATTCGAAGAAAACCGGTCACTGGGCAAAATAGAACAATGCAACACAAGTACCACGGAATTCGATGATCCGAATGAGCTTGAAACTGAGCGCATGTTGTTGTTGCTTTCTCTGCTCCTGATTTCCTCGTTCACACTTCAGCGGTACGGGTGCAACAGATGCAGAACATCTCAGAATCTAGTGGCCAATTGTGTCGTCAAATCATCTTGTGATGATGATGAATGATCTTCGCGATTCATTCAAGCGCTATCATGAACAGACCCATACACACACACTGTGTAATCCGGTAGTACTGACGAGGCGTCGATCGTAAAAAATTAAACGTTCAGTACAAATCGATTTGAAATGGATAAAAAAATGCACATAGTGTGTATGCGAGAGAGCACTGTACTGGAGGGGAGGGCAGCCATTGGGGAAGCGAAATCAAACAATACAAACCTGTCGTTGTTGTTGTGTATTCGGCGCGAACACACTGGGTAAACGGTGAGCGGATTTCACACTGTCATCATTTTTCCCCAAACTGCTGTTGTTTTTTTTTGTTGAAAGCTGATCTCTTGCTTCCGGTTGTTAATGCGAAATAGAATTGCGTATCATCATCATCATTATCATTCCCTCGTAATTGTTTTCGCTCATTGATTGATTAGTCTCACTGATTACGTACGTATCAATCTACAAGGTCATACGCTGGATCGAGCCGAAGAGATCAGAAGGGCAGGTTTATTCAGTTCTTAGCTTTACATGTGTTTCTCATCTGCACTTGTTGCGTGTCTAGCTAATGAGGCCCAGCTTTCGGATCTTGTGTGTCGTCTCTCTGTGCTTTTCACTTGAGATGGCCGTTGAGTGATGACGGACCGGATATTTACAATGTACGTGTGTGAATGTGTGTTGGTCCGGGTTGCGTCTGAACCTATCTGAATGTGAATCAACACAGACTAGACACCTCTGTATGGTGATTGTGATTAGCCTCATGGGGGGGGGGAAATATCAGAGACTCAGTTGTGACATTCTGTCTGTGCTTCGATCACCCTGTTGCCTGTGTACAATTTATCGGATAGAGAGAGAGACAGAGAGACGTGCCTTATGCTCAATACGGTCCCTGGAGAGATTGATGTCTCTGTGATACCGTGCATGGTCAGGATGAGAAGAAATTGTGTTCTGTTCTGTGCCAGAATGGAAGACACAAAATAGACATGGCATCATAGAGTGAGTGAACTTGTCTCCACGGGGAATGGAGTCGACAAAATTGTGGATGGGAAAACTATGAGAATTGATCGTGAAGGGAGTTCACTATCTATTTAACGGTAAACGGTATCGTTTAATGGATATTGTCCCGATGGGTTCTTCACCAGATCCTCGACACTAACATGGAAAATAGACCTGAATATGCCTCCTTTCCGGGAGCTCAGGAGAAAAAGCTGTTTTAAGAAAAAAACTGTCTTTCAAAGGAGAGGACCTGTTGGATCTTATTAGAAAACGTTTGGTATGTGTCGAAACAGCTGTCCAGAAACAGCTTCCGAGCTTTTTAGTTCACGCTTCATTTGCTATATACACGACGAATTTCACCTTTGAAATTGAATCAAACCCTCCATTAGTCACATTAAACATCCAATATAGTTAGTTTACTCACGCCGGATGCATCTCCGGTTATTCATTCCTTTAGTTGTGTGCGTAACGTAATTTGCATTGGCTGCACGCTGAGGCAACTATCTCAAAGAATTGAAGAGTACTGTCCAAGCTGGTCTCAACACGGTGGAAAACGCGTCACAGGGAGCGATACTCTCGCTCACCTAGCAGACTCACGTCATCAAATAAAGCCTCAATCATCTACCCAGTAATAATACCGCATCAATCCAAACTGTTGCGTTTTAACCATTGCGGAACGGATAGTGATTCGCTTCTTTACACTCAACCTATGTGCATAAAGAGGTTAGCCAAGGTTAGTCAACTGCCACGGTCACAGGTCGAACGTAATTGTGCAGCATTACAACCAGATTGCAGAGGCGTGGGGACCTAACAGCCATTTGATGTGACCTTTGACCGACAGAAAGTTCAATCGTTCAAACATGTCCGAAGAACAGCTATGACCAGTGAAATAAATACGTAATGCAAGCAACACAAAGTTGAAGGCGTTAGTGTAACGCCACAGATTAACGGACTTGAAAAGATTATGCAACAGAAAGCTGGTCAGCCAAGTGAATCGACAGAGTTGTTAAATGTGAAAAGAATCAGATGGATGGCCCGGATGACCACGATAAATGCATTACGAAGTGCTCCAGTTGAAACTCCGTTCTCGCAGCTCGGGTGAACCGAACGCATTTGTGCCTACTGGCCGAGTTTGCCAATTTGTTTGCAAACGTCTTTTCATCAAACGGGGTTGGATTATTATATTTCACACTTGTCTGAGGCCAAACTATGTACCAAACAAATCATGGTACAATAGGCCTGATAAAAAAGACAAACGCTCCATGATCTTCAAGTGGATTGAATATTGCCAGATTGCCCTGGTCAAGGCAGGTGAGTTTTCTTGAGGAATCCATAACTGGAGCCTTTAGCTAGTTAAAGCCTGACCCGCAAGGCAGCGGAGCGGTGTGCGAAAACCGCAATCGATTGTGGGCGGGTGTCCAATTCATCGGATAATACGCCCATTGGACAGGGTCCAAGGTATGCAACAAACCCTGATGCCCAATCGGGCTGGTGGCCTCTGCCACAACAGAAAAGATGTAGGTGTGATTCGTACATCTCCTGATGGTTGGTTTGGAATCAGGGCTTTTGGCCAACTCCGCTATGTTTTGTATCCCACACCCCTCCAGTAATTGTTTTGGCGTTGGCACCTTGCTTGTTGGCAATTCGGTGCAATATATATATATATATATATATATATATATATATATATATAATATGAACTACCAGCGATCCACCAACCCGGTTATATCCCCGGGTATCGGTTTTTTGTCCTCGCACTTCGGTGGGAAAACATCTCCGCCAAGGGAAGACAGCGAGTCGGGTTTCCTCAGCAGAGGTTATTTGAGACGTTTGGTTGTATGGGAGCACTTCGTGAGGTGCAATGAAAAGGGACCAGCCGCAACCCTAGACACCCACCTCCGACCATGCTGAAGTACTCGGAGGTTACATCTCAAAAAACATTGTAGACTGCACCACGGCCGGTTATGAAACGCTTGCAAACAAGTTGCCAAGCTCGATGAAGATGAACGAATACCTTTTACATGTAATAGTCAGGATTCGAACAGCCAATGACAGCCGTCTCGGTGAAATTACGCATCATTAGGCTTCAAAGTTTGATGTTGATACGGAAAGCCTCGAGTTTGTCAATACAGGGCCCAGTAACAACAAATGTCGTGCCGATATGCTTGATGGAAGGACATCACCGTGAAGTGACAAGCTTTTGGGGGCATTAAAGACCGTGCGGATGCCGGAAAGCACGAACGATGGTTCTCGAGCTCTGGTACGCATGACGATCAGTTTGCAACTGTCGGAAGCAGACAAACTGACCGATCCCTCAAAGAATGGTGTTCAAAAGCCAGTTTGCTCTTCACATGTTTTGTGAAGCAAACAATTAGGTGTGGATCAAAATGATTGAACGCGTAAAAAGAATTCACATCAACGATAAACTACAGTGATAATGGAAGATGATCTACCTCCAAATGATCGAATTCCGTCGTTAAACGAGGAGACCTTGCGATCGTTCATCCCTTTATTTTACTTCCTTTTATTGAATATTCAAAGACAATTTTCAGGAAGGGGGAAGTGTCCATTCAAAGAGCTGCCATTCAACACACAATGGGGAACCCCAGGCGGTGGTGGTAGGATTCGAGCACATTCCCGGGGTGATCGCTTGATGACGTTACCATCGGGCCACCCTAGACGACACAGTTACGGCTGGATGAGTCAGGCAACCACAACTAAGCCGAGTGTTAACATTTCAAAACGATACTACTGCAAACATATCCAACACACTCTCCGGTTTTTCTACTTTAGTATAGAATGTCAAATGACAATCGGGCTACGACACGAACAATAGAAGATCATTTTACCTTATGCGAAATCCGCTGAGTGTGTATATGGCCGATAAACAGTCAGTCCATCGGTGGTAACCAAACATTTCTTCAACCTGGGTGCAATCACAGCCGAGTGCCAGTCGGTACGGTGCGATCGAGTGTCAATGGTAACAAATGTCCATTGCTATTATTTCAGAGCATCCCTGCGGGCCTTCATACGTGCTGCGTGAGTTCCGCACCCACTACACATCTGGTGTAAAAGGTGGGATCACGGAAGATCGAAAGGAAGAGCAACCAGTAACGGCCACTCCTATGTAACGTCCCCTCATTCTGGCCGATCGGACCCAGCTTCACCAACCGAATGTATTCTCCCCGGCGGTCGAATTTGAGTCCTGGGAAGTACGGATGAGGAATTATCTGCGCATGCAGCCGACAACGGAGCTGCAGTCGTTTATTATCGGATATTTATCCGACAATGCAGCAAGACGGTTCCTCGGCTAACGCCTGTCCCCAGACACCGATCTCGAAACGGTATGGAGCCGCTTAAGGCGGCTATTTGACGATACTACACCCGCGGCATCTACCTTGGACGCTTCCTGCAGAGCAAGCAAACCGAGTACAAGTCGGTGCGAGACTATCTCGGAGCGCTGCAGGAAATGGCACTACGAGCGTTTCCGGGCGTTTCGGTGGAGGAGGTTGAAAAGAAGGTTCTGAATCGATTTCGCACTGGCATCCATGGACCCGAGGCTCGGGTACAATTACTGCGCCGTCCACTGCTGATATTGGCTTCGTCTAATGTCGGCGGTGGAGAGACCTGGTGCTTTTGTATCAGCCACACTCCGCCACACACCTCAGAAGTTCCATCAAGCATAGCAGAGACCATATATTGTTGTCCACCAGTGGTCATTTAACGTTTACGTTCTATGCGATCCACAACGGCCGCAAGAAGACCTATTCACCGTCCACTACAACTAGCTGAAACCGTACCGCAGCGCACGACCAACAGAAAGCATATTCCCACCTTCTACATGGAAGTACCAGTTGAAGGCGGCGTTGCCACACAACTTACACCACCAGCCGATACTGAGGACAGTGTCCTTCCCGAATGAGGACGATAGTTGTGACGGCATTTAAACCGAAACTGCCGGAGATGTGCACCGTACCATTATTTGTCTTACCTTCCCTATCCCTTTCAGTTGCACAACGGTTGAATACGGTGAACACTAATAACAAACAAACAGAAAAATGCCAGGAATGAGGACGATAGTTGTGACGGCATTTAAACCGAAACTGCCGGAGATGTGCACCGTACCATTATTTGTCTTACCTTCCCTATCCCTTTCAGTTGCACAACGGTTGAATACGGTGAACACTAATAACAAACAAACAGAAAAATGCCAGGAAATACACGAGAATCCGTAATCGATATGAACCTTGCCTACCCCTCCCCTTCCCAGATTCAGCTTGTACATTACTTTTTGTCGTTCGTTCCATGCCACAATATATGCACGCGCGCGACAGTTGTGTTCTCCCTGTGTGAGCGTATCTGGCAGTGAGAGGTGCGATCCAGTGTCGGTGGTAACCAGTATCTACTACTATCATTTCAGAGTGTTCTCGCGGGCCTTCATACATGCTGAGTGATTCCTGCACCCACGTCACACACTCAACTAGACCAGACACAGACTTTTCAGCTTCCGTCCGAGCCGTGAGTAGTAGCATCAGCAGTGGTTTACAATTTTTTTTTTATTTCACTCGACACGCGGTTGATAAAGACCGTTGTTTTCACACAGGACGAAATCACTGTATCCCACTGTGCAACTATTACTGATTACCTACACGTGATTTGCGGACAACGTGGGCGGAAAAAAGGAACGCGAGAAATCAATCACACTGAGAGACGGAATAAAAACACTGAATTAGGACGAATTCAGAAGAAGAAAAAAATCAACTTGAACCAGAGAAGCCCAAAACTGTTACGTTGTGTGTTTACCAGCACTGAAATGCAGTCCCAGTACCTGTTCGGATAGATACACACATACAGAGAGAGAGAGAGAGGGAGGAGAGACATGGGAAGAGGTGAAACGGAGATTTCAAACCAATGCACAATGACGTAACACTCGAGGAAGGAATGACAAAAAAAGTCCACTTAGACAAATAAACAAAAGCGCACGGTCGATTGATTAGCTGATTAGATAAACAAGCGGCTGCTTTATAAGATTGTTTTTTCCAGGTCCCTTTAATTAACCAAGGTCTCTGTACTGAACAGAACAGAACAGAACCGAACGGAACGGAAAGTACGACAACGTTTGCGAATTTACGCGACAAACATAATTCGAGCGAGCAGGGTCGAAGTGGGCGTGAAAACTTGAAATTACTAATTCACATGTGGAAAATTCGAGGATGAAGATGGATGGCGTGCGAAAACAAGATAAGTAGTGCAAGGTTGGTGATGGGCAACTGTTGGAAATACAATAACGATCCAAGCAGAGCACTCAATAAATGCACATATCAATGACAAAGGACACTCCCCAAAGGGAACGGTGTACATACCAGTGGCGGTTGTTTGATCTCACTGTGTGGCGAGCTTCTCCACATTTTTCTTCACTAAGGTTCGAACCC